CTCAAGAATGGAAGAAAAAGTATCCAATGTACTCAGCCCTACTATGAAACTAATTTATAGCTTTCATAGGAAAGCTATAACTCAATTTTAGCCCAAGAATATGAGGAAAGAGGAGAGGGAGGGGAGGGGAGGGGGGGTGGAGGTAGGGTGATTGGTGGGATCATGCCTATAGTTTATCCTATAAGGGTACATGTGAATCTTTCTAAATGTAGAATGTAAATGTCTTAACACAATAACTAAGAAAATGACATGAAGGCTATGTTAATCAGATGGATGAACATATTTCAAACTGTATATAGAAATAACACACTGTACCCCATGATAGTATTAATGTACACAGCTATGGTTTAATTTTAAAAAACTGTGTTAAATGCTTAAAAAATAACAATAATAGTAATAATAATGGCCACCAAGAAGCAGAACTTTTCCAGGCAAGTCATAGCAAAAGCAGTCCAGACAAAAGCAAAGGCCATGGCAACCATTTTGGGTAATGCTCAAGGCATTTTCCTGTTGACTTTCTGGTGGGCCAAAGAACAATAACATCTGCTTATTAGGAACATTAGCCAAAGTTTTAGAGAAATACTCCAGGAAAACATTACCACAACAATGCTCCTGCTCATTCTCCTCATGAAATGGGGCAATTTATAAGACTTTTGTTGGGAAATCATTAGGAATTCACCTCACAGATCTAATTTGGCTCCTTCTAATTTCTTTTTTAACCCTAATTTTTTAAAAAACCATTAAAGGAAACCTATCTTTCCTCAACTAATAATGTAAAAAGGACAGTATTGAAATAGTTAAATTCCCAGGACCTTCAGTTCTTTAGAGATGGACTAATGTGCCATTATTTCCAAAAGTGTATTGAACTTGATGGAGCTTATATTGAGAAATAGCATTTACGTTTTTCTTTTTATCTGTTAATTCCATTTTTCACACAGTTTGGGGGGTTTTTTGATTTTGATTTTTTGGAAGTTTTTCTAGACATGGTCTCACTCTGTTGCCCTGGTCAGAGTGGAGTGGCATGATCATAGCTCACTGTAACCTTTAACCTCCCACCTGGGCTCAAGCAATCCTCCAACCTCAGACTCCCAAGAAGTTAGGTCTATGGGTATATGCTACTATACCCAGCTACTTTTGCTTTTTGTTGTTGTTGTTGTTGTTGTTGTTTTGGTTTTTATGTTTTTCATTTTTACTTTTTATAGAAACCAGGTCTTACCGTGTTGACCTGGCCTTAAGCAATCCTCCCTCTACCTCCAAAAGTGCTGGGAGTGCAGGTGTGCCACATGTTAGACAATGATGTTCCCTTGTATATGAGGGACTTCTGTTTCATGTGTTCAAATGTAACCATGTATACATATTTCTCTCTTCTTTCCTTAGTATGTCTGTGTCTGGATTTGGGTGTGTGTCTATGTTTGTGTGTATTTAACCACTGAGGGGGAAAGGAAGGACATCCTTGGACAGACTGGCTAATTCAAATTTTCTCTCATGTTATTCCCACTGCCAGAATGATCTTCCCCTTTTTTTCCCCTGCATGTGTGCACATACACATCCATACATAAACATACATACTGTACACATATATATATGTATATAATTATACTTTAATAACCATTGAGAAAACACAGAAAATATACATGCCAAACTGTCAAGAGACCATTCCCCTGGAGAGTTAGATAACACTGAGAGATGAGTGAATTTTATTTATGGTACTTTTCACATTTTTTTTAAAATCTCATAGGACAATTTCTGATTTCAATTTGTAGGCTAGCAAAACATAACATGGCTACTGTGCTTTCCATTTGGTATACACTGCAAATAGGATGTAGTTTATGATCTCAAGACTGAATTACGAAAAGAATCTTTTTCCTTTTTTTGTAGAGACAGAGTCTCATTTTATCACTCTCAGTAGAGTCCATGCCGTCACACAGCTCACAGCAACCTCCAATTCCTGGGCCTAGGCAATTCTCTTGCTCAGACTCCCAAGTACTGGGACTACAGGCACCTGCCACAACACCTGGCTATTTTTTCCTTGCAGTTTGGCTGGGGCCGGGTTTAAACCTGCCACTCTTGGCATATGGGGCCAGAGCCCCACCCACTGAGCCACAAGCACCACCCCTACAAAAAGAATCTTAATGGAGACCAAACAGTGAACATTCTATCATGCAGGAAAATTTGAAACAGATCTCAAAGGATGGAAAATATTAAAAGAGGCAAGGCTCACAGATAATATTCCTCCTAATAAAAAAAAAAACAAAGGTAGCTAATGGCTGGTACACAGGTCAGAATACAACAGGTTTGTTCAGATGCAGGTGGACAGTCTTGCACTGAAGTCTGGTAGCCTGCACTTTCTTCAGACAGGAATGAAACAGAGCTCATAGAAGGGAGGTATGGTGCCTAACCCATTGGAAATTGGGGTGACGTCAATGTCCTTTGGATCAACCAGAGGTTTCAAGGTAAAATTCTGTAAAATGCTGGTCAGGATTAAAAACAGCTCCATGCGGGCCAGACTCTCTCCAGCACAAATTCTTTTACCTAAAAATAACACATGAATTAATTATTCATTTAATACTATTTTTGCTTTAGCACACAGGGAGGCTTAAATAAATGTGGAATGAAGAAATATAATAAGGAATGACTAATTAAGCTACAGCTTCTCTTATTAACACCCTAACCAGGATTCCTTCATTTCCTCAGCACGTATTTCTGTGTGGATACTATGTGAAAAAATCTTTTCTATACACACTAGAAATGCTTTGCTGAGGCTTGCCATTGACATCGTTCTGTACACACACACTCAGACTTACACACACACAAACACGCACACACTCATTTTTCCCAAATAGCATGGTATACAGCACTGTGTCTACTTTTCCACCTAATTCTGACTTAGACTCAATGATAGACTTATTTCTCCTCATCTGGATTGTAAAGGATAATATTAATCTTGTCACACACCTGCTTTAAAAACTATCAAGAGCTTAACCTGGACAAGTATAACAAAGAATTGTTAATGACCTGACCATAAGCAATTCTTAGAGCTTCAGTTCTCACAATTCCTTCCACCCAGTTCCCCATATTCCAGTCATTATTAACTGTTCACCACTCCCTAAACAAATTGGCAATTTTGAGTTTTATCACTGATCCCAGGTTTTCTTTGGCGTGTAATGGTCTTCCCCTCTCCTCTGCCTGCCAATAGACTGCACATTCTTCCACATTCAGTTCAGATTTTTTTTTATTCTATGCCAACCCCTTTGTGGTGGTCACAGTATGTAATTGACTCTCTTACCTGTTTTCCACAATACTCATTAATACTCCTAATACTGTACATTCACAAGAAATTTAAATTATTCGTCTGTCTCACAGACAGGAATATAAGCTCTTAAGGGAATCCCTTATCTTGAAGTACCCATAGTAATGCCCACAGTGTCAAGACTACAGGCAGACCTGAAAGCCAGGAGAAATGAATGCAAATGTGAGTCAGGCTCATGATGCCTCTGGGGACTCCAAAATACAGGGAAAAAGTAAAGGAGCAGAGGAGCAGTGACTCATGCTGGGGTTATTCCAAGGCATGAGTCATAATCTTGGGACCACAATACTGAGGGTTGCTCCATACTGATTTTCTTAAATATTAAGGAGCAAACCTTTTATTTCTGTCTCTGCTTCCGTTACTTCTATAGAAAAGATCTTTATTCTCAAATCTTCCTCTTGCTTTTTCCCTGGAATATACTGAAAATTCTCCATTTCGTCGTCTTCCAGATCTATTCCATATTTGCTGGTCTTTAATGCCTGTGCGTTCCCAGGAAACTGACTTCTATGGACTGCATTAACCCAGAAATTAGTTCCCTCTGGGATCTGGGTGAATTTAGAGGATTAAAGGTTGAACCTATCAGAGTGTCTATTCCCTCAGTGTCCCCCCACCCTCCCCACCACTCCGCAGTCTCGGCAGTGTTGTGTTCTCCTCTGTGTGGATACTTCTCCTGCTTCTGCTCTCCCCTGGATAAAGGTCTGTTCAGGATCCAGTGACACCCTCCTACCCTTGTCCGCTCTGACCTAGGATGGTAATATCTCCCTGCTGATGTTAGTCTTAAGTACTTTGGCACACTTTGTTACTTCCCTTAACCTGTCCATGCCTCTGAGAACAGTCTCTTCGTTAAACTCACTTCAATTAACCTTTTTGAGTGTGCCACCTCTTTCTTTCCAGGACCCTTACAAATCAATTACTTCCTGAAAGAAAATTTCCCTTACCTTCCAACTTCTCTATCTCTGCCGCAGCCCAAAAAATTCCAGAGTCAGAAGCTTTTGTCTCTGGGCTCACACAGAAGAAGCATAGCATTTGCCACACAGCAGTCTCATTTGTCTTCCTCTCTCTTACAAGGAAAAACTGTTTCTTGTTCACACTTGGGTCCCTGGACCTCACTTGGCATTGCCATGTGTAAAGCACTCAAGGAGATTTATGGAGTGTATTGGGCTCTCAGGGTAAATAACAAAGGCCTCACTAGATCTACACTTCTAGGAGGAGCTCCTAGGCATCCCAGTGGGGGTCAGGAAGCAGAATCTGTGAGTGTAGCCACCAATCCAGTGAAAACAACCAGGACTTCGGAAGTGGTGCCTCTGCCCTCATACAAGTGTCAGTGTGTCCATGCCAGGAGAGCCTCCAGGAAAAGACCTTTCTCGTCTCATTTATCCTCTGATGTACAAATAAAAAGAAAGCTTACTCGCCTGCTGAAAAAGGCATGAAGTAGTCACTCTTCTTAAAGTTGCCACTTTCATCCAGAAAGTGGCCAGGGTCAAACCGCTCTGGGTTGGGAAACTCTTTCTCATCATGCAGGACAGAAGACAGATGTATTAATACGTTTGTGCCCTGATTAAAAAAAAAAAATAGATGAACCAGATTATAAAGGTGGTCATTGAGCTTGAAAAAACATTGGAAATCCTTTATCAAATGCTTTTGTTTTATTCAAGGAGATTGAGGCATAAAAAGGGCAATCTATTTCCTCGGTGTCACAGAACAAATTAATGACCAAGCCCAACGGGTATTAAATCATATAACACCCAGTTCAGGGCACTGTTCACTGATTGCAAGGCCATCCTCAATGGTTTGGAGTCCGACACCAGCATGTACTTTGCAGAAAAGTAAGAAAGCTCCCAGGAGCACATTGCTCTGGACAAACAAATTACAGTCTTGTCCAACATTGCTAATGTCACTGAAAATCCAGCTCATTCCCTATAGGACCAAATGTGAGGCCTTCCTAAAAACTCAGTAGCTAAGTGGTCTTTTTCTGAAAAACCTTCAATTTCCCACAAAGATGAGAAACTGATAAGTATTCCTTCCTGCAATGTTCCTTCAATTGAAGGTTTATATATTCTTATGGAAAAGAGAGGGTTTTTCAATTTCTAATAGGTTTTTCTGAAAATCAGAGATACAATTGTGACATAATGAGTTGCAATTTAGTTTTCAGAATCAATCAAATCTTTCTCCTCACCAAATAAAGCTCTGTGACCACAGTTAAATTGTTTTACATTTCAGTGCCTCATTTCCCCACTACTAAAATATAAACAATATGTTTGCATTAGTTTTTTACAAGGAAAGATGAGATAGTATAGGAAATACTTTTTTATACACAGATTACCACATGTTAAAATGATCACTAGAGAGAGGTTTTATTACTGTTTTGGCAATAATGAGTGCATTCACAACAGTCTGGGATCCTAGCAAAGGTCATGCTTTTACTACATAACAGAGACAAATATTAAATCTACATTTGTCTGGATGTATTCTGGTCTACTGCATGGCCTCTCCAAACATGATCTAGCTGTAATTTCACAAACATAGTTCTAATTTCACGAAATCCATAGGTCAAGTACACAAACTACCATATCCATGTGGACAAATGAAGGAGAAGCCAAAGTATCAGCCCCTCCTGACCCTCTTCCTAGTAACACAGCCATTCTTATGATTTTTTTTTTTCCTGCCTGGGTGAATTCAGAACACACTCTGAGCACAACAGGAAACTTGTATGTTCAGTCCCAAAATGGGCTTCCAGATAACGTTCACTTTTGACAAACCACTTCTTCTGGCTCATGGGACCTTCCTCTTCAGGCTATGACAAGATAACTGCTTTGGAGTTGCCCTCACAACTAAAAAAATAGAAATCTGAAAAATACATATAAGGTAACAGTTTTTCATCATTGCACACAAGGCAATCCAGGATTATGACACCTTACTAAAGATAACGTAGGCCCTATAATCACCATGGCTTTCTGGGTGAGAATACTTTCCCCCCACTACGCAGGTTAGTGAGGGTCAAGCAAAGTGGTGTCTTTTCACGCTGAGAAAATAGAGATCAAAGTTTGGCACCTGAAATTTAGAACAAAGGGTAGAGTACGGGACAGGAGGAATCCACAAAGAGAGAGGATCTCAAAAGTGTACGAGATACATAGAAGCTAAAAAGAGGGGGGATAAAGAGAGAACCAGAGAGGGAAGCCAAAAGTTCTTTATATGAACACTTTCAAATCTCTGGTTAGTTCTTGAATTGGACAAATGTGGCACAAACTCTAAATAACTCACCTAAAGGTAAAAGAACTAAACTAAAAATTCAGAGTTTGAGCTTGACTCTTTCAGAACATGCAGAGAAAACAAACATTTTTCTAAGTATTTAATAAAGCCAATATAATTCTAACCTGCAAAATACATTACCAAAAAACTAATTATTATTACCAAGCAATAATAATGGGCGGCGCCCATGGCTCAAAGGAGTAGGGCGCCAGCCCCATATGCCAGAGGTGGCAGGTTCAAACCCAGCCCCAGCCAAAAACTGCAAAAAAAAAAATGTAAGGACATTTTCAGACAGACAGAAGCTAAAACACTTTATCCCTAACAAACCTAGAATTTAGTAAATGCTAACCAAAGTTCTATAGGATAAAGAATGCAAAGAATAATTACCAAGAGAGAAGAAAACTAAGAGATCATCACTTCATTGATGCGGGAAGTGGGTATATCCTAAAGGAAGACATTTTCTAAGAGTATATTTCTAAGTGCTACCATGAGGTTAAGAATATAAGGCCTGGAAAGCACTCATTGGATTCAATATTAATAATATGCAAGTTGTCTATGCCTCTCAAAATGGTATCACTGGAATGAAAGATGGGTTGATAAAAAAGATGTTTTAGTAATCATTTACATATCTAAAACCAAATTCTCCCAGGAGTTTGAATTTGAGGGTATGGATGAGGTAAGTTCTAGTAAGAGAGGTCAGAGTTTAGCAATAGGTCTCTTTAAGATGTAGGGAGACTATGGAGGGGCAGAGCAAGGTGACCAAATAGAACACTTCATTCTTTGTCTCCCCACAGAAACATTAATTTGAATAATTACGCATACATGAAAGTGCCTTTACAAGACCTAAACCAGAAGAGAAATCACAGTACTTGGTTTTAGCATAAAAATAAAAAGGGACAGTGAAAGCTGCATGGCAGAACAGAATGACATTGCCTGCTTCATACCCTCCCCAACTCTGAATACACAGCACAGAGATAGATAAATCTCACTTAGGTAAGAAACAGGGAAGTGAATGTAGCACTTTCCTGTGACTCCACACAGTGAAAACAATATCAGGCAGATACTTGTAGCCCCTGCCCCCAGGCCAGGGCCTGCAAATGGAGACTCTGGATTTGCTCCAGTCAAGGTAGAAGCCTGTGGCCCCAGCACCATGGTCTTATGCTCTGGCCTGCATCCTGCTGGCCATTACAGTAGTCTCAGACCATGAGAGAATCTTAGCATGCAGGCAGCTAGGCCACAGCATCATGAGCTGGGCATATCCTTGACCACACTGATCCCTGTAGTCACAGGCTTAAGGTATAACCAAGCTGAAAATCAGCCTTGGTGCCAAAAGACTGCCCATCTATGGCCAGAGCAACACAGAGAGTGACTCCACCCACTGGGAGGAAGGAGAGGGAGGTAAGTGCACAACTATGCCTTAAAATTCAGTGCTAAGACTTCCATGATGAAATCCAGCACCAGGAAGAACCAGATGAGGATCTGCCAGAATCACTGGACCTGGATTAACACCAGGTAGAGACCTGTGGCCCTGGTGGGATGGTACTGTGCTCTGATCTGCATCACTGCTGGCTGTCTCTCACAGCCTTGTAGCTCAGCGGCAGGCAGTCGACAGTGAAGTGAGCATTAAGTGTACCCCTCTGCCGTGCTGGTCTTAGCAGCTTTAGACTTCTGGTGTGACCCAGAAAGAAATACTAAGTGCTTAACGTGATAGGTAAGCTAATTACCCTAATCTGATCCTTACACATTCGATATATGTGTCAAAACATCATGTTGCACCACATAAATATATGTAATAATTATGTGCCGATAACAAATTTTAAAAAGAGAGAATATTGAGCATCTTCAAATGCTGATCAAATGGATGAACAAGGGAGGATGAGATGAAGATTGAAAAGAAAAAGAAATGACTTTTTCAGTAATATCCTTTAAGAAGTGGGAGAGAACTCCGCATTAATAGGAAACCAGTAGATGAATACTTGCCCTCCCACATGACAGAAAAACACAACTACATCCAAATGGGTAGGAGGGTAGAGGAATCAGGGAGGAAAGAAGAGGAGGGAGGATGTTCGGTGTGCTACCACCTAATGGGCATAATGCAAAGGTGTATGGCACACCTCCTGGGTGATGGGCTAAACTACAACTTGGACTCTACCCAACAAATGCAAACAATGTAAACTAATAATTTGTACCCTTATATCAACATAAAAAATTTTTTAAGTGAGAAAGAAAGGAGACATGACTCAGATAGAAAGACTTTCATAAGATAAAAGAACAACAGACATCAGAGTGAATTTAAAGTCTATATATATAGCCTTTATATATATATATATATATTTTATGTATAGCCTTTATATATACCATATATATTATATATATATTTTATATATAGCCTTTATATATATATATATCATATATGTAATATATGTAATATATATGTAATATATATGATATATATATATAAATAGCTGAGTGTGTAAATCTAACAAGGGAGTTCCCTCCTGATGGCTCTGAATTTTCTCTTAGCAGGTCAGATCACCTAGCAAAAAGAAGATAATGAAGAGTTGGAAGTTTGGGGGGAGTTCAAGGTTCAAAGAGTCATTGTGGAGCATGGAAAGGCAAGTTGACTTGGTTATAAAACAGGATTGTTGGTTACAACTGAAAGTACCTTTGACATTGGTGAAAATTATACCAACACACTTGGGGTTGATTAAACAAACATCAACCTGCTGGACTGCAAGAACTTTTCCAGCAGCTATCAGCCTACAGTCAGGCAAATTCCCCCTTTTGTAGTGGGGGATTCAAATCCTATTTTACAAATAGGTGAAACAGTATGGACAGAGGTGGAGGATGTTGGTTAATTGGTAAGAGTAATGAAACTTAACACTGGAAAGCAGGAACGTAGACAGCAGATTGGGCTAATAGGCAGAATATGGATCTGTCATTTTACTAAAAATCCCGTGAAAGTCTAAGCACAATTTTATGTAGAAAATTGTATCAACAAACTAGAAGGAAAGAGGCACACAGCTAGAGGGCAAGGTGCCTAAGTTAGGATTGTGCCACACTACAGAAGGCTAGGCAAACTAGAGTGCTAATACTGTAATAACTGATGGCCTAACATTCCTAGGGAGGAGCATAGATAAAACATTTTCACCTTTGGAATTAAGAACTCTCTAAACTGAATGTCCTGGGTCACGGCATGTGGCAAGTTGGTAGGGACAAGGTCAATGTATCTCTGGATCTCATGCACCACAGCATCCGTGTAGGGCATGCGGCTCCTGTCCTGCATGCAGGGGCTCCGGTGTCTGCCAATCACACGGTCGATCTCTTCCTGGACTTTAGCTGGCAAGACAGGAATCAGAAATTATGTAAAATGGAAAAGATTTGTAGTACTTTTTGTACGACCCCTTAGTCGTTGTCACTTTGAGGTTTGAAGTGAGGAGGGGGGGAAATTCAATGTCACTACCTCCATAAAAGAAAAAAAAGAGTTCAGTTCCCTGGGTGAATGAAACATTCATTAAGACTTAAATATATACATATAGAAGACACAACTGAGCCATGAGAATCATTTCTTCACTCTGATTTTCTATTTTGTGTACTTTTGCTTGATACACTTAGGGATCTGGGACTTTGAAGATTCACTAAAGACCATGTAGTTTAACCACGCTTTGTATGCCAATTTTTATTTTTATTGTATAAGTTTTGAGAGTGTAAGAACTACTCAGTGCAATAAATGCTTAATAAATAGAACACTTAGTTGAGTCAGCACAGACAAACAAGAAGT